CCATAGATGCCTAGTACTGATATCACATTTTTCATCCAACGACTTTATACGCGTTTTTCCTCCGTGTAATGAATTTTCATAAGAATCCGATCGTTATCAACCGAATATTATAATCGTCGTGTAACCGTGGTAGGTTATAATAATATTTTATCTGAAACCCACGAGTTAGATTTCATAATACGCGTATGTGTGTGTGTGTGTGTGTGTGTGTGCGCGCTATGTAAGTATATCATATACATATATAGGACGTGTGCACGATGGCGTCGTTGTCTTACAAATATCCGAACGATTTATTTAATAATAATAATAGTAACGAAATGCTGTGCGGTATTTGAATTTTAATAATTATTACGTGAGATTCTGATCTAAACAGTGTATTCTATTGCCAAATGTTTGTACGGTATAGACAAATAAGGAAAAAAAAACATTAAAAAACGAATATTATGTAAATATTTAACAGTATCTCCGTGTGCTTCTTGCGTATCGATAATATAATAATATTATACAGAAATAATAATATGTCAGCGCCACCRTCAGTACGAACAACACTGAACTGCGGATAATTCCAATTTATTGCTCCAGTCGGTGTGCATAATATTCAATACAATTGATTGCCGTCGCCGCCGAATCACGCGAAAAAACTCTTCGCGCGCTTAAACCCGTTTGAACGCAATTTTTATCTTCCGGAATATGGCAAGGGGCAGGTTGGTATAGATATTATAAATGTATATAATATATATTATTATTATATTTTTTCGTGAAAGAAAAAAAAATGTCTATTAAAATATATATCGTGGCGTCCGTATGTAACGACGTCGTTTTACATGCGGTTCACACGATTCGTTTACATAATTTAATCTTTTTTTTCCTCTCGACTGTCTCCTCCCCCCCGTGCGCGTCTACTAAAAATATAATATACCGTCTTGCGACGATTGTATACCTATAGTACCTCCATATATATTAATATACGTATGCCCAAGGCGGTGGACATGTCGTCAAGCCACACACACACAWACTTACACACGCACACACACAAGCTCGGGCGCGCGCGACAATAATAATATTATTATTATATTTTCCAGTCGGATGCGACGTGATAAAGACACGTTTTTTTGTCCTTAACTCTCTCGATTTTCCCACCCCGTTCACACGGCGATCGTCAACGACCGCTCATGACGATGGTCGTGTACGCGTTCGCGATATAATCATATCACGCCTGAAATGAAATGATACTCGGGTAGAAAAAAAAGAAGATATAATATACCTATATAATGTATATAAAAAAATTAAATAATAAACGAAACGGACGACGGCGTCGGCGAAGGCAATAACAATAATACCCTACATATAATATTATTATAATAATATCGTCAGCGTATAGTAGCGGTGAAGCCTGCAGGTCTGCCCAATAAAAAATAGTAATATATTTACCTACACGACGGTGACTGCAGTAAGCTACGTTGGCGCGTAGCGGGGGAACCTCTCCACATATAATAATAATAGYAATATGTACAATATAATATACTATTATATGTACTATTATATTATACATATAATAATACGAGCATATTATATATTTTTATTTTTATTATTATTATTATAATATTGTATAGGTAATATAATATTATTATGATCACCAGAGATATTACTGCGTTGCGGAGCAGAGTACATAAATATCGCGGACACTCGGTCACCGGGACGGGTCGGATACACAAGTTACACGTATATATATATATATATATATATATATATATATATATATATATATACTGTATATGTATAATATGATAATAATATAATACGCGTTTGACAATAATATTTTTTACGATATTGGACGACCCATCGGCGTCGTCGTGAATATACACTGCACGCGTACGGAGGTATAATAATAATGTTTCCTCGTCGAACCAAAGTCGTATAACGTTATATTATTGCGCTGGAAGTTTCGTGGGTAATATTATATAACATATATATATATAATTGTTCGACCGCTGAGAGTAGTATAATATATAATAATGATGGTGTATACGCGTACAAAATGAGATTGACGATAACCGTCGATATATTATATAATAAATAATAACACTATCGTTTCCCTGATCGTCGTCAAAATATCTTATATATATATATATAGTATTATGCTATATGTATAGCTAYGCTATAGAATACCTACAGATATCATAAAATGAAATAAACAATTTTCAAACTTTATCCGACCACGATAACTTTATTACAGAATTGTCTTTATAAAAATATTGTCGGATATATTATAATGTGCGGAGTACGAGCAAAAGTGTTTAAGATTGCAGGGACGAGATTTATTTTCCAAACGTCAATGTTGATTAATCAACTATAAACGGTTGAGTAATTATGTTATGTTATCGATGTTATTATAATGATCAATAATTTTTAAATCATCTGCCGTTATAGATTTGTGACTCAAAATATGACTATTGTCGATCAGTCGTTTATGTTATAAATTGGTCGTTATTTGTTCATCAATTAACATCACTAACTTAGTCTAAATAGCATCGTTAAATAAAAAAATTAACATAATAATATTTTAGGGATCTGCAATATTTAGGAAAAAATTATTCAATTAATGCAATTATATCATAATGTATGCACACATCTTTAGTCCACGAGGATTCACTATGAAATTTTTCAATAAACCCGATGTGTTGACAAATAGACTAATAAGTGTATTTTAAAAGTTTATTTTATCGAYTAAAATATAAATTTATAAATTACACAGGTAAAATATTAATTAATTAAATGTCACGGAACGTTATTTTACTTTTCTATTGGACTCAAATACAAATTACAGCAAATGGCTATGGCACGTGCGTGATTCAACGATAGCACTGCCCGTGTACCTATATTTGATAGGAGGGTCAACAACGTCAATGAATAATTTAAAAAAATGTTCATGAATAAATTGTTTTCTTCGATTAATTGGTTTTTATTGGTTTTTTTTCGTTCACCTTTATCTACACGCATAATATCAACGTAACACAAAATATCATGCTTGTTGCTTGTGTTTACATTATCGGTTAGTGCAAATCACGAAATTATAAATAGGTAAATATATACATCATAATATTATAATAATAATAATATAATACTGCGTACACGTACATGTATATATATATTTATACTATAGGTACTACAATAACACTCTTGTTACGTCATTCGAATTGTTTATGTCCACGACGACGGAGAACACGAATATCGTAAATAAGACTCKATAATATATACATTACCTCGTATATTATATACRACAAGATGATTTATATATTATTATAACAATTTTATCGATTGAGTTTAAATGCACGTATATAATATAGAGGTACCTCTGTAGAAAACCATCCCGCACAGACTATAATATTATAATATTACAATATATATTGTGTACCTCATTTGGAAGGCGAACAATGTATAACTTACAACTTTACAAGTATAAATGTATAATGCTCTTTTAACGTAATTAACGTGAATTTAACGGTATCATAATATAATAATCAATACATTGTATAAGGTACAGCCATATGCCAATCCCAGGGCATAACTGGTTAACTATTTTCCTGGGTAAAAGCTTTGTAACTTGTATGTCATCGCCAACGTTGATGACGTAGTAGTGTTAATTCGCGATTAAGTCGATATGGAGATTTAATGTTTTTTTGACAGGCTTCAACGATTTGTCATTGTGTATATATATATTATATTTGTATATTATACATATATATATACACACACGGAGGAAGTTGATTTGTATTGTGTTTAATGATTTAAAAAAGATGAATATTTACTTATAAAACAATAAATTATGTTGTACCTATTATATAATATGAGTGTGGGTTATAATAGAGTTATATATTATAACTTATTTTATAGCGTGATTTAATTTGTGAAAATAAAATAGTTAGTTTCAAAATAAATAATATCAGTAATATGGTTTACCTCTGTCCACAATCTTCCCAAATAAGTTTTTGCCAGTTAAGAAGTTCTTAGTTGAACAGTTCCAACGCCTATTCCGGAACTGGTGCTGGCACTCTTGCAGTGCCATATTGACGCCTCTGCTGATTGCTTGTAATACGCCTGGATGTTCGCGGATCATCCTTCTCTGTTTATTGCGCAGTAACGTTAACGATGACGAGTCCATGAGCATCAGGCCAGGGGTCATAGGAGCCAAATTATTAGGTTCGCCAGCTTTTGCGATTCCCCTGTTGTTGAAAAAAATTAAACGTATGTATTAAACCATATTTGTTTACCTAAATGTATATAAAATTCTTATTATTTAAATAACTTAAAAAAATATATATATAAAATTATAAATGCAATACAGTAATACAATTTAGCTAAGCTAATAACTATAATCAATTATTGATATTAKTGTAAATATAATTATAAGCTAATGACCTTTGAAGCCTTTATACACAAAAAAAATCTAATAAAAGTAAATATAAGAATACTATTATAAGCACTTATAACTATATTATTAAAATTGATACCAAATGTCTTATGTGTATCAATGAGTCATATATATATGTATAGGTATTATCATGTTATATACGACGTTACATAATATGAATAAAATCATATTATAGTGCCGACGTGCTATAGATTTTATGATATTTTGTGTTTTATATTCTTTCACAACGAAGTAGTCCTACTAATTCTACTTCCACTGGAAGGTCTGCTCAMTCTCAACTTCTTATCATTGCAACTATAACAATATCTATTAATTCAGTGTATTAATAATTGAATATGACAGATAGCCTAAATATAAAATTATTTTGAAATATATATWATATATTCTTTTTCATTTTGATGTTCTCAATAAACGATGGATATATTTATTTATTGTATACATTCCCGCGGTTTTTACCATAATGGTGCATAAAGCATAAACGACTGACAAACGAATGATGCGAATAATGTGATGAATCACTTTAGTGACAGTGGTGCTAAGAGTGACTCGTCCAGTGTATACAATTATTATATATACATTTATTTAGGATGTGTRTAATATCATGTATTTGATCAATGATAATGTTTAACCCGACCGCAAGTCTTTAATGACAATGCGCTGGTCATTAAACATAATGAGCGTTATGTGGCAAAAAAACATARAATTTACATCGTGCGCGTGGACACCGGAATATCAGCTACTATCAATTTTTTTTCTAACGTCTGTATTTTCCATATCAAATACCAAGAATGCGGAAGATTAGTCTCACGTTGGCGCTAAACGAGTATGACGTATACGTCATCTATATAATACCTATATATGTATACCTATATAATATACGTCAGAAACCGTCACTTTTGCAATCTCTTGACGATAATGTTATGTGCTCGGTGTATTTTATTATTTTAGCGCACAGAAAACACTTGTCTTTTGACCACGCGATGACGACGGTCAATATTATGCATTGAGATGTTTCCTTTACATATACAGTCACAATACGCGTGATAGGTCTGAAGTATGTCTCGGCCGCCACTGTCAAAGTGTCGTCGTCGTCGTCGTCGTCGTCTATAATAAGACGTGCTCGAGACTGGAGTGAAGGGAAATCGACGAGCCTGGACAATGGATTCAAGCACTCGAGATCAACGTATGTGTGTCTATATGTCCATAAAAACACACACACACACACACACACACACACACACTGATGTCGTTTGCGTGGACATGAAGAAATTAAGCACATAATGGACAAACAGGGATGTATTATTTGTTGAACGTGTCAACGTATCGGTATATTATACATATATATATATATATTATAAATAAATGTATAAGACCGACTGTGGAAAGGAATGAGCAGCAGCAGCGTCAAGAGCAAAGAGAAAAATGTGTGGAAAGAAAGAAATAATACATATGTATATACAACTGCAGTATTATAGGACTACCCGAGCGYGATGACCAACACCAACAACGATGTGTACACACATACACACTTGCAAGTTATAACATAATAATACACACGTTGTTGCAGGTATACAGATTATATTATATAGTGATGTGTTGGTTTTTGCCGTGTAATTTTCGATGAGATGACGAGACTTCTTTTTTTTTTTGCCAACGTACCTATATATTATTATTATTTATACAATAAATAGTGTTACGTTAAACGAAGCAAAGTGAAAAAAAAAATTCTATAAAAATGTATATAACATTATTATTATATTATACGCCGCGTGCAACAGCAAGATTTGTGGCGCGATATCCGGCGCCGTCCGTCCGTTTATGATGCCCGCGTTCAAAAGTCAGGCACGAGAATCATATTAAACCTAAATATATTATTTCTTCCTATAATTTTATACACGAATCGCACGTTGTCATGCTTAACACAGCGTACCCTACTCGTCTAAACATGTCGGCTCGTTCAGAAATAACGATAACAAAAGCTCGCCGCACGCGTAGGCACGAGGGATAAGACTCACCGGAGAAATTATTCACTGCGTTTTTGAGTCGCGTCATCGCGCTCGGCYGACGTGACAACTGCAACGAGCGCTTGTAATTTAGTAACTTTAAAAGGTGATTATCGTAAAACGTTAACTGTTGACGTGCAAGATAAGAGATAAATCAGTGAGGAATGTTCCAGTAGACATTTACTTGTTTATATAAACGGGAAAAAAAATGTATAAAGGTATATATAGGCAAGGCAGGCAGGCGCAGTAGGTAAGTGTATTATATTCATAACTCGTTTTCTTTTCTCTTTCCTTCTTTCTTTTTGTTTCGTTTAGTTTTTTTACCTTATAAATTTGTTTTGTTTTTGTGAGTACGGGAGAGGTAGAGGAGAGAGAGAGAGAGAGATTGAATACATGCGCGTGCGCGCACTTGCGTTTATATGTGTGAGTAGTGTAATTTATAGTATCACTAGCTCAGCTCTAGCCTATCTCCCTTGATCATCGGTTGTCGTGGGAATATTCGCGTTCTGGCTTCATTCCGGTCGACATTTTTATATTTTAGGTCTCCTAATGTCGTTAATCATCCGATTCTTATTTTCTTTACACACACAAACACATACACAGTACGCTATATATATATGAATATTATATACTACAAACACACACGAGTAACTTACACGGTTCACTAACGCGACGCATAGTTTGAACGCGCGCACAAGACACGACGCGATACGACTTCATTGTAGTACCACGCGCGCACGCCGCCGCACAAAAGACCATCATCATCTATGCGTATACGGCTGGTTTCGATCCAATGGATCTGATAACGGACAAATCGGCCGGTTACGGTCGTATCCGATCAGCGGGCGAGTTGCCGTCTTAAGTCATCGGACGTCGACGCGTGGAGCTGTAACATCACAAGGGGAAGAAGAAGAAGACGATGACGACGACGACGACAACGATAACAATGGACAGAAGACTGTGGCTGCAGCGGTGGCGTTCGCAAATGAGACGAACAACTATCTATTGACCATCATTATTATATTATACGTTTTTGCTCGTAGACGTCGCGAATCCGCTGTCTATATATACCGCTGCAGTATACATGATATTATAGGTACCTACGCATTATTATGCAGTGTGTTCAGATCTCGCGGTATAATCCGTGCCCCGTGSCCACATAATTACGGTCCACGATATGCGTGGGTGTATCATRTAGTGAACAATCACGTGAGTGTTTTCTTCAACATTGCCCGTATCGAAAAAGGATTAGAAGGGAGTGCCAAAGTGTAAAATAAAATAAATATTCGTTTACCTGATGATGAAAATGTCTCAAATGATTTTGGGATGTAATCATTAGAAGGGGCATGACGGAATATTTAAAAAAAAGATTCATTCCCCTCCGCCCTATTATAATTTGAGTATTAACATATAATATTACAGGTAGATAATTATGTTCGCATACTGAAGGGGTCACGTGTGAAAAGTCGTAGAATGTCGTATTATAGTAGTATATATATACTAGCGCACGAAATTAGGAGTAATAGAAAATAATGTTGTGGACGTTATAGAATTTTATACGAGAAACGGAAAATCTCGTCGTTGAGACCAGAGCATTTTTATACACTGCTAAGAGTGCAGTCAGCGAAGACCACTCGAAATGGTATTACTCCGCCGCCGTGCATATATAATATAATATATCATAGTAGATTGTGTCATTAGTGTAGCGCGCGAACGTATTTCGAAACTCGATGTATGAAGCATCTATATTCTATATATACCTAAACATGAATTGTACATCGTTGTGTTATTATTATTGGTTACAAATTTGAAGAAAAATAATAATAATAATAACTCTACTACCTGCCGTCTGGGCCTGACCTCCTAAACCGGAAATTAATTAACAAACAACATTTTTCGTCCCGTGGTATAGAGGTGTACCGCGGTAGGTAATTAGCGGTCTAAATGATTTTTACCTCAGCTTTATGATTACTATTATTATTATTATCATCATCGTTATTATTATGACGACTACTACCTACAATTATTACCACTTATAGTTACTGTTGGCAGCAGTATAATATACTACACGCGTACTGGAGAAGCGTAATTTCGAGTGCACCAGTCATATATTATCGAACACGTCGACGGAGGGCGGCGTTGATATATATTTGTGTGACGGAAACATGTCCGAACAGATTGATGGACTTGAGAAAAAAAAACCTATAACCGTTTTGTCTTACGAGTTACGAGTGTCTTCGTGAGAGAATATCACTCGAGTACTTGTCATATTATCATTATTATTATTATTACTATCAGTGACTTAAATTATTGGGAGTTAAAAAAATATGATAATAAAATTATACTTAATTGTGTCACGTGCATCGTATGGCTATTTAAATCCAGAGAAAAAAAAACATAATTAAATCGTAATAAAAATAATTCTCAATGATGCGCGCAACGTACATCTTAATTTGTTAACATTTTTTATTGTATATAGTATTAAATATTAATGGCTAAACAATTATTTTTATGGAGACATCTCGATCGTATTTTTTTTCAAGTGTGTAGGAACAGAACATTGTGTTTATATATATAACAATTTGTTTATACAATATATTATTATATTGTTATAAATTATTTTTTATTGTATAAAATAGCGGAAGGAAAGAATAAAAAGTGCGTCTCAAGTTTGAAATAGATATGCTTATTATATAAAACCTAAAATGTAAATCATAATTACCTAGTATCTGCTATTATATATTTTAAACGCTTATAACTATTCAAATAATATATTATACACACAATATATATGGTACATATCACGCAAGCGTGTATGTGCGTGTGTCTATGACATCATCATTTGTTCGACGGATATTTGTTTTATTTTTTATTTTTAAGAACTTAATTATCTGCCTTAGATAAAAATAAAAAAAATGCCGGAAAACGGAACATTATTGTTCGGACTGGGGGACAGAAAAATGTTTCATCAAAATATGGGTTTTGTATTTTTTCATTCATATATCTGTACAATGGTTTCAGAGATCTAAAAAAAATGATAACGTAAAAGCCTATACGTATATATATATATAYACACACATATAATATACTGCTCTCGTTTTTGGGAACAGTTTTTTTCCTCCCATTATCTGTGCAAATTGAAATTAATAGGGGGGTTCGATGATGCCCTTCTATTGAAACGCGTGCGTGTAATAATACATGTCTGTCAACTATTCACAATAGTCTCAGATAGCTATCTAGACATACAGACGGCCACTTTGGGTGGTTCTCCCGTGTCTCTTATTAGGGTTCTTCTCAATTGACCCTGTCCACCCCTTTTTAATGTCTAATAGATAAAAATAAACAAATGTTTAAGAAAAAAACTCCTAGGTAACATTATAAAATAATTCACGCTGAGATCATGGTGACATTCCTTCCGGCGTTTATGTCATAATCGTTGACTCGCACACTATAATAAAATAATAAATCTTGAACCCAATAAGATTATGCTTGAATGGTTTGGATGAATCGAACGGTATAAATTTCTCAAAAGGGTATATAATATTATTATTTTCTATAGAAGTACCTATACATAATATGCTGGATCTTCAGCTATTTGTGTTGTGTGAATAAAAAAGATTTGTCTTTTCTTTTCATTCTTTTTAGATTTTGTTTTTCTTATACATCGTTTACACAACGCCTACCAGATATCTTTTTTTGTGTTCCCAGAATTTAGATATGAAACAAATGAAAGGTATTATTCTTATGATAACGAGTTGAAAAAATATTAAAGAAATAACAACCTTTTTTAATTTTGGAGTATATTAATTTATTAGTACTTTAAATATTTAAAAACAAAATAATTATTTAATAGTATATAATAATTAAAAAAGCACTTAATAAAGCGTTTACTATAATAGTGTTTGAAATCAATTGTATATTGTAAGCATAATTTTTATAAAAAACAGTTTATAAATTAGTAATTTATTGAAATTGACATTTTAAAACAGTTAAAATTAATGTTTATCATGAATTAAATAAGTTACATTTAATTGTTAATGATTCATTAGTTTATCGCTTATCTGATTATATTTGGTATAATACACATTTAGATGCACGTTTAATCATTTAAACATAATGATTAACAGTTTTATTGTAAATAATAAAGGAACCGCATTGCTATRTATTTGTAATTGAGTCATTAATATTATCTTTCAAATTGTATTACTTACAAAATTTAAAATAAATAATAGTTATCAGTGAGCAGTGAGCACAAAATAGTTGTATCTTGTATGCAAATAATCTTTATATAAAATAATACTTAATTCAGATCTCTGTAATATAGTTTAATATACGTAGTGTCTTATTCATAGGCTTACAGGAGTATTCTTCTCAATTTCTAAGATAGCAATGAGTTTATTGTTTTTACAATATTGATGAACATTTATTTTATTATGTTATTACCTATATTATGCTATAACTATAGCCATGTTATTATAGCAGTATTTTAAACAAAACAGTTTTTGAGACGGTTAAAAAGATCATTATTGGTTCCTACTTCATAGTTAAAATGATATGAACTTACTAGTGACTGTTTTTGTCATCTTAGGAAAACCCCGAATAATATAATAAAACAATAATAAAAAAGAAGCTTATTTATAACTCCACTAGAATTAATTTTAATGAAAATATTCAATGATTTATCATTATTCTCAAAAATAATAATAATAATATTTAGCCAATGTATAATATCACAAAATAAAAATGTATAACCAAATACGAACTTTTTAAAATATTAATTTTCTCACAACTTACTTCAAAAAAGTAAATTGTATATTTTTTAATAGGTGTATTTTTATATTTTTTATTTATGTTTAGATACTGTGGAAAAATTAAATTTAGTTAAATAATATTTTGCKAAAATTYATTGTTAATAGAATCTATTTTTCTTTTACCAAAAACTCTAAAATTATAAATTTTAAATGTATACCTTTTTACTTTGTTCATTACTATATTATTGAAATGTATCTGATTTTGATAATTTTTCAACTACCTATAATTTTTACCTAATATAGAATACCTAATTATTTTAATTGAGTTTTGAGTTAAGTAGGTTCTAACCTAATCTTTTTTAAGCATACATTTTATAATTATAATTATTTTGATTTTGTTTTTGTTTTATATAATTAGCATTAAAGTAAGTACAATAGTCAATAATAATATTAAAATACTTAAATATATGTATAAATTATAACCTCCCAATATATTTGAGTTAAAAAGTAAAAAAACTAAATAAAATACCATCAAATATATCAAATAAATTACCCAATTCTATAACACTGTTAGACACACATAACTCATATTATTATATAGTAAATTAGTATAGTATATAACATGTACAATTGATCTTAAATAAATAAATAAATAATGATATAATTAAAGTAAGATTCGTATATAAACGTGAAAAAGCAAATAAATAACGCAAATATACGTATCTATAACAATAATAATTATAAATTACATTATTAAATATGACTTTAATTACTTACCACCAATGGGTGCCTTTGTATTTTCCTTCGCGGTGTTTGGCGTAAGTTCTGGAGATTTCGTCGACCACAATGGTCATCAGCACAATTGTTTTGATTACAATTGTAGCCTTCATGTCACATGTCTAGATGCCACAGATATGGGATGAAAAAAATGTCCCGTCAGCACGAAGCGATTGGGACCGGCGAATGGCTACGCACGAATATCGCGTGAGAGTGTCGTTATAGAAACCCTCCTCTCGGCGGGGGTTGCTAATAAAACACGAAAACGATAAAAAAATAAAATAAATTTATAAATCGAAAATGTAGACGAAAAATATTCGAAAAACGATATCAGCCGTCTAATGCTGTAGATACGGGTTGATGTGTTAATGACGAGGAACGCGATGAACGCAACTCGGTGAAACGAGTTTTCCCGGGAGTCTGCGAACGACTGGTGTACACGGGTAAATTATACAAAACTACGCGGTGATACAATCAGATGAACGCACCCCAGTCCGGCGGAGCAGAACGACTGATCGTGAATGCGCGACATCTCGGGCCGCAGGAAAACCGCCGTCCTCGTGGACCACGAAAAAAATCATCTCCGTCCGGTAGGATGGGCGCGGAGGACGTGGACGAGTAGGAGGATGCCGGCCAGGCCCCGCCCGCCGGCCGCCCACCGACGAGCGTCCCCGTCGCCGGCCGCGGTACCGTCGGCGCGCGCGCGACAGAGACGGTACGACGCGCCGGGCGGAGGAGAGACGGCGACGAAAACGGTCCGGTGGCGGCGGCGGTTACCACAGGTTATTGGCGGCCCGCCGGAGTGGTTATTGGGCAACCGTGGAAGGGAGAACGTGGCTCGTCTCGCGCACGCACGCACGCAGGCTAGCTGCAGGTACGCCTCTTTCGACTGTCGCCGCCGCCACACAATACAATAATAATATAATAATATGTAGATACCTTGTTATGAGATATATATTTTACAAATATATATGTATATATACCGTGTGTACGTAAATATGTATATACATATATTATATCTAGCCGTCTAGGATTGGTGTTGTTTTTCGCGATCACGTTTTAAGAGATTCGCTGCGCAGGAAACAAAAATCAAAACCTTTTGATGATATGAATATTACCTTTAGCCGTCAGCCCACACTATATGRCCGTAATGCCTAGAAAACGATAACGTATAAATATACCTTATAGACATAATATAGTTTTAGTAAATGGATGTAGCTATTCTATACGATATTCGGACACTGCACACTGCAATGGCACAACTATATATTATATACGATATTATAAACCTCTAAACGCGGGGAGAGTGCTGATGTATAACAATTAAAATAAGTTCAGACGCTCGTTAAGTTTAACGTTTTCATGCAAACAATAACCAATAAACCGATTTTCATATTTTTAAACCTAATAATAAGAGTATAATTATCATTATTTTTGTCCGTTTCGAATAAGAGTATAATTACATATTTTATTGAGCACCTATAWGTAATTACTAATTATAGTATACTTGGGTGCGCCAGCTTTCGTTTCGATACTATTTTATTACAAACTACAATGTTGGAACCGTATACGTCCTAGGAACCATCATAACCATTGATTGACGTCAAAAAATTTGAATTTATTTATTTTGTAGGTACTTACCTGCAATATCAACGGATCTGTGATTTWAAGATGTGTGAAACCGTGTTATTATACCTATATGTATGAGGTTCAAAACTTTGAAAGACATAGGTATTATTATTTTTCACTATTCAAATTCAAAAATGTCATAATAATAGCTCATTTAAAATAGTGTGTTATTATCGCTAACATCGGATGTCAAAGGCCATCAAAGTGCATTTATTGCTACTATAAACTGAGCTTGGGATCATTTTTGTTCTTCGTGCAGAATAGTCGAGGAAACCTACAGCCAGATCCGCCGGAATACGTATTATAGCTGCAGCCTGTAGGTTAACCATCGAACCACCAAGAATTCTTAGGCGGCGATATATAATATATATAGGTACGTCTAATATCTTAAGAAAGATATTATATCCTCCACCGAGCACAAAACACATCATACGCGCATACATAATACATTATCGCATCTCCGCTGCGGTGATTCGCAACGCTGTCGTAAAATATTCACGAAGACGAGTCGCGGCCGCCATCGGTTAATTCTTCAATAATATCTTTTCGCACGGACCGCGTCACACGCACTCGGCACGGTCGAATACGCATCGATATCTTCGTCGTCGTCGTCGAGTACGATGGTTTTTTATGAGCCCAAACGTACACAAATCACGCGTGTGACGTTATAATAATATAATATAATAAACGTATAGTATAAGACGACTGCCAAGAGACTTCAGTGCTCATCTATACCTATATTATGATATAGTAAYAAATAAATGTRCCTATATTGTATTATATACCACCTATACATAATATATACCATATATACTATAGCTAGGTATAGGTATATACGCTTACGGTTGTGCAGTCTATTATAATAATATTGTAAAGGTATCTATACTTTAACCGCCATCCTATATATATATACATATATATTATATATTATGTACGCGAAGACGGCCGTRGAAAATAAAACCCTCAACGCGATTTCAATAACCGTTTCGTTTTGGTGTATTTTTTATACCCTCTTAAATTTTAAAATGGGTATATAATATTAATATATTCGACTGCAATATAACGCGCGTGATGTTTGTGACGGACACCAACGACGCCGACGCCATTGAAAAAAAATGCACGCGACTTGATGTGATGGCGTAGGCACCTATAGATGGGTAAGTCAGTTAAATATATAATATACGAGTATATGTTATATATACCTATCGAACACTCGTCCGTTATAATTATAATATATCATTMAATATTATATAATATACGCGAAATCACACACATCGCTATACATGTATTGTGTATGTATTTATATACATAATATATACTAGGTATTCGTAGTGAAATTTATAAATAATCGAAATACACAATTATATTAATATTTTATTGTTTGATAGTTTCGTCGTTTTGTTAAGACCAACATTACTGTTATGATATTTATCTATATTACCTATATACATAATATACTAATAATGTGATKTGTTATTTCCCCATATGTCCATATAATAACAACGATGAACTCTYTCGCTGATTTTTACCTCTAACTTATATTGTATTAAAGAATTCATAATTTTTACGATCGGTTTCAATTTGGTCGTTGTCCTCTATAGATTATAAAACTTGACGATTCTCTTTTATACATTATGTAACAATTGGTGAGAAATTAACACAGTTCATTCTTACTGTGTACAAATTAATCGTTTTTGCTAGTGACCTAACTTGTATTTTATATTAATATATATATTATATTATATTATATTATACAGGTGTAATATTAATATGAACAAAAGCTAACCGCCATTTTTATTTTCACCATAATAATAGACCTACAAAGAGCATTGTTTATTATTTTAGTTGTATTTAAAAGTACCTATTATATTTTATTATTATTTCGTATAAAAATAAAAATTAARCATTTATACTTAATATGCTGCATAAGTTATGCATATGGTATATAATATGTATTGGATAAGTAGTTTTATTTTTGACGGACATCGTTGTGTGATGATTAACAAAGACGTGTTCAAGAATGTTGACTTTTTTTTTAGTACAACCAAAAGTGTTAAAAAGTAACGCTAACACCCAACGGTAAATACCTAAACTAACCTAAACTATCATTATCATTATTCGATTTCTCGGAACGACGAAACCAAAACAAACGTTTAAACCGTATACATAATATATTATTATACATGTGTATACGAATTACCTGTTGTATTTATCTAGCGTGAATGCCGTGAATCGTGTACCTACATATAGTGTATACATCACATCCTATACCTGCTACGTCTTAAATGTTTTAAATTGTAATTTAGAAAACACAAAATATGTACCTATATCATCTATATAATATAATTCTGCTTAAAATATAATCTAATCACTAYTTGTATTTATTATATTATTAYATTTTATAATTTATCACGTACTGCTCAAGTAATTGACGATTGTATGTTACTATATATACGTATAGAGCATGCCGCACTAGTCCACTACACCTATATGCATATAATAATGTAGGTAGGTAGTATATCCTACTTAAACGTGTTCATATATATAAGAACACACAAATCATTATAGAAATAATTAATCAGCTTGTAATACATGCTTAAGTACAGGTATTTTTTTTATGAATGATTCATAATAGATACATAGTATAAAATAATATATGAATTAATAATTGCAGCCTAGTACACAATATAAAATCTTAGGCTAATATTTTACGTTGTGATTTGGAATATCATATATCATAATAATGACTTGTTATTACTTTATGTTATATAATTCGACACTAAATAAATGAGAAGTGTACAGTAGGTATATATATTTTCAACAAGTCGATCTGTAGGTACCTACCTATAAATTAATTATCAATTTTATTAGGGACTACAACTTCGTTACATAATATAATATTATAGTTTTTTAATATTCGTGTGACGTATCTACAGAAAACAAGACGTGATAGTTACAACGATAATTTATTATATTATTTTCCTGTATCCACAATTTTGTTTCGTTAATTTTTATAGGTGCTCATATAATTATTACATGACATAAATACTTAATTTTGTTTAGTTGGGTACTAATAGTAATAACAACAACAACAATGATGAAGCACGATTTCGCTTATTTATATTTTATACACGCAATGCAAATAATTAGCCTATACCTTCTATACGCACATCGATCGTTGGTACATATTATTATGGTTTGCTGCATACAGTAAGTTGGCAGTCCATAATATGATAATGATTATAATGATCCCTATTTGTCTTACACCTTATTGTTAAAGCACGCATTAATTAWGGATAGGTACACAGCTGWAACATAAAAAACGTCAGGCATAGTGTTGTTAATCTAACACATACGTTTATAACTATATAAATAATAAACATTGCAGTTTATTATTTTTATTTCTCATTTGCTTAACCTACGACAATTGTCGAAATAAATACACATATCGTATATTATAAAAAATTTATTGTGGTACCATGCAGTTATTGGCCACCAAAATAAAAATATTTTTAAATCTATTTATCCATATTGTCATCTAATTTTTGGTGATAAATTCATCTCGTTCCTATTGTCCTATTCTACTATGATCATAAATAATATAAGCTTAGTAAAAAGGAAACTAAGAATTTTCCAGTCTATAGACTATATACAGGTATATTATACTTGTAAAATTGAAAGCATCCGTTAAAATTACATTGGAATGCAATAATTTTATTATGCACCCATAAGATTATTGGTACAAAATTATCATAATTATTTCAGTAGGTAAAATTTCATGATGATTTTTTTTTTTATTGATCTAAAGCACGGCGACTAAGGCCATTAGCTATACATAGGCCATTGGGTGTAGGGTGGTACGATAGGGGTTATTTTTGTATATTGAGTTTGTAGGTTTTTTT